TTGAGGAAAATGATAGATTAGAAAAGAGCTAAAAGAAAAATGTGTCATGTAGTAGGATAGTTGCTTGGCACCAGTGCTGATCTAGCTTCAGCTATGAGCCACTAAACAGTCACTACCAAATACACAGACTGCCAGGAACAGAGTTGGGTATTGAAATGAAATGTGACTTACCATCATTAGTCTGTCATTTCATAATTATAATAAATATGATACATTCTATTGGATATTTGCCCAAACCTAGAACTGTGCCTAGAACACTGTTAAAGTTTAATACACACTTGTTGCATAGACACATGAAAGCTGGCTATGAGGAAAAGGCAAATGGTTTAAATAAATAAGTTGTGTAGTCAATCTAATAAATCCCATGATTATCAGACAAGACAAGAACTCCCCAGGCTAAGTTCAGAATAAAAGGAGGCAAATTCAAAAGCATCTTTGAAATAACTCTGTGACCGAGGTCCCTCTCTGCGCCTCCACCAGAGGGGTCTGGTCCGAGATGTGGTATTGAGGGAACCTGGTTCCAGTCCTAGAGTCTAACACTAGCTAAGGGATTAACTGTTTCTGGATTAGACAATTACTTTATTTCTTGGGGTGTACTTAGAAAACAAGGTAAAATATAGGGCATCTGATATTAGAATGAGGTGTAAGGTTGTTGATATTGTGGCACTGAAGAAGAGGAATAAAAGGCAATTTGGGGTTTAAATGTTGGATGCAGCAAAAATGCTACAAAAGGCAGAAATGTCCTGCATAGTTGTGGAAGCGACATCATATTAATAAACATTGAAAAAAGTTTTAATATTGACAAGTGCAATATTAGTTGTCCTTTAGGAAGGACAGGACTGAGACGGAGACAGGCAAGCAGGGCCTGGGGCATCCAGAGGCCACGTGAAAGTCTTGGTCACCTTCTAGGGAAACTCTGGGTACGCTAAAGCGAAAGTTTTGCTTCATTCCTTTTTTTAGCTGATTCTATTTATTTATAATAGGAACCAATTCCTTTACTGCCAAGAAGCAATTTATAATCATTTCAGTGCCAAACGGTGATAGTGACATGTGGCGTGACTGTTTTAGAGATGATACTTCTGCTCAGCTAAGTTGCTCAGAAGGGCAGCATACTCTGGTCAAACAGTTCTGTATTTGAGTCCTGACTCTCTAGCTGTACCTTGTAAAAGCCATACAACCTCTGTGAGCTTCCATTTTCTCAGCTATGAAACAGGATGAAAACAGAGCCTGTCTCCCAGGCTTGTGAGGCGTGAACAAGATAACTGACTAAAAAATTTCAGCTCTGTGCTGTGGTTATCTTCATTTAGCCCTTAGCAACATTTGGTGGGTGGAGGCTGTGTGTCAAGTGCCCCATGGACCAGTTCAGCCTCTATTTATTCAGTCCCAGGTACAATACTATTTTTAAGAACAGAAAAGTTGGTTTTCCTTAATAAAATAAATATACTGTGGTTCCTAAGAATTCCAGAGGCGTTTGTTTTTGTTTTGATGATAGGAAGGTCTGTCTTTCACAGGAATATAGGAAGAATCTGTAAACCCATTTGCAGTGATAGAAAGGCCCAGAACTGAACCTCTGCGCCTGTGCGTGTTGTCATCATCTCTCCCTCACAAGCTTGCAGCAACAGTTGTACAGGGCTCTGCTCTCACAGATGGCAGGGTTACAAGACTGCATAGTTTAAACTTCACATTTTGCAGAGGATGCACATTATTTTCAAGTCTGGGAAACTTCAAAATAAGTTGGTTGCCTTCTGTGTTTTGTCTCATTAGGTAAAGACAAAAACGTTCTGGTTGTTTTTCTATACCAATACACAGCTTGTGTTTTAATTAAAACAAGAACCGGGCTCGTGACCAGAGGGAAAAACCATGAAATTCAAAGCCTAAACTACGTAATTGGGCTACGGCTGGAGAGTAAGAAGAGGAATTTTAAACCCCAGCATGAATTTTATAAACATCTTTTCCAAATGCAATGTGGACTTTCTTCCTTCTCTGTCACTTCACTGGGAAAAACGTGAAAGACAGAAAGAGATGCAGGTCTACAGAACCCTGAAAATAAAAACGTGTTCATGGGAAAATGAATTTCTTTTCAAGCCAGAGAGTTAGCATATTAGGAAACGGCTCCATTCTGTTTTAGCACTTGCTTTATCTTCTCTAGCCCTTAGAGCAACCACATTCATGGTCCTAGTTTACCCAGACAGGTTGAGAACTGTCTTCTCACTATTCCCAAGATTATCTTCACATTTTTCTCTATGAAATCATTAAGAACAGTTCAAGTCTGTCATGTTTGGGGTAGTACACTTGGACCATACTAAATTATGATAAAATAATCTATTATATCAACAGAGCTTCTTCAGTTTCAAAGGGACTAAAGTAGACCAGGACTTCTCCAATGTACTGTCAACATTTGGGGCTGAGGCTGTCCTGTGCATTGTACGTTCTTGGTCTTTACCCATTGGGGGGCCAGTAGCATCTCCCCAGTATGGCAATGCCAGATGTTCATCGGTGGGCTTTGGGGGCAGAAAAACTGCCCTTTAAGTGCAATAACTTTGTTCATCTTGGAGAAGCAGTCAAGCACTGCAGGAAAAGTGACTGTTCTGGAGCTGGGGTCCTCTGGACTACCTGGGTGATCCTTGTCATTTTATGTGAGATCTTCATGCCTTAGTTTCCTCTTCTGTCAGATGAAGAGGACAGTAGAACCTTCTTCATAGGATCATTGTAAGAATTACACAAGCTGTTGCCTGGCCCATAGGAAATAATAAGTATTAGCCATTATTACTGTTTTGTCAGTGCTAGGTAATTGAAACCTGATTTCAGTTTAAATGCAGGTTAACAATTCAAACAACAGAGACTACTTAAAGGAGGGAAATTTGGGTGAAGTTACATTCTTATAGATGGACATCTGTATTTATGTTTCAGAATTGTCAAGTTATAGAGGCTTAACCATTGCATAATCCTATAACCTAATTTGCTAAACAGTTTTGGCTATTGCTTAATGTACTTTATCTCTCAAGTAGAGCTTCCTAATTTATCAAAATTATGGGCTGCTGCCAACTGTTCCTTCTGTAAATACAATTGCTCTGTTGCACTTAAAAAAATCTTGACAGTATGCCTGGTCTTTTCCCTTGAGTTCTTTCTTCACTATTTAGTCAGATAAATATTATTGTATTAGTCATTGAAACAATAACAAAAGCTACCACTTTTAAGAGTAACTTACTCTGTGCCAAACTAAGTATTTCACATATATTACTATTTCACCCAAACCTCAAAACAATATTAAAACTTAGGTGAGTAGCTCAGGAAAGTGAAATTAATGGGTTCCAAATAATCCAGGCAAAAAAGATCAGAAAAGGGTAGGAGTTGAGGCTGGCTGTCTTTGATGTCTGCGCTCTTAAAACACACCCTGGCCAGGCATGTGATCCCAGCACTCAGAGGTGGGGGCAGGAGATAAAAAATTCAAAGCCAGCCTGGGTTACATAGTGAGACCTTATCTCAAAAAGCCAAGGGTCGGGGATAGAAATCAGTGGTTGAGCATATGCCTAGCCGGTGTGATGCCACTGCAAATAGACAAACAAATAAAACAACAACTCCCCAAACAAAGACAAAAACAACAAAGCAAACTACCCCTAAATCATAACTTTACTATCAAAGCACCAGAGCTACCACCAAACTCTTAATTCTAACACAAGCTTTCTTTCTACATATGCCATCTTCCCGATAAACTTACACTATCATCCACTTTCTTGGCTTTTTCTCACTCAAATACAAACACGTTGAAGGGTGTAGTCAAACTGGAACATCTCAAGTCAAGCACAGTGATGGAGAGACAGACATCATGGCAAAGAGAAAGCTCACTTTATGTTAGTCTGAATCAGGACTAATGCAGATTGTCTGGAAGCTTGAAATAGGCTAAGCGAAGTCATATTTATCTGTTTCAGAAGAGTCATCCAAGATTGTATGAAACAGGAGATTCATCACATTCATCTGTAATCTGTCCTGTGCAGTATTCGTGTTACTCTGAGCACACAAGCAAACCTGCTGCCACGTGCAAAGTAAGCCCAGTGTTTGGGACCAACTTCCAGTGGTGACCTAAAGCTCCCAGCATTGAGAGATCAATGTATGAAGCCAGAAGCTGGGCGTCCTGGGGTACTAGATGCCAACATGTGCCGGGTGACAGGACTGACTGTGGCATGGGATAATTCACATGCAACTTGAGGCAAGCTGCACGTAGATAATGCACTCAGGGAAGTTTTGAGGGAACAGAAAAGCAGCAGGGTGTTTGTGTTAAGGGAGCCGAGGGACTCATCAGATCACTGCATTGTAGAATTAAGCAGGACCTCGGAGATCAGTTGGTCCAGTCATTATCAAAGCACAAGATTTCTTCAATATTCCCAACAAGTATCCCATCTGTGTTTTGATACTCACAGTGATTGGAAAACTTCCCTTTCTTTTTCTTTTCTTTTGGTCTTTTTGAGACAGGATCTCCCTGTAGCCCCAGCTGTCCTGGAACTCACTATGTAGACCAGGCTGGCCTTGAACTCACAGAGATCCGCCTGCCTCTGCCTCCTGAGTGCTGGATTAAAGGCATGTGCCACCATGCAATTAATAAATGTCAGTCTGTATTGTTGTAAACTCTGGAGAATGCTGCTCATGGAATAGTCATATAAGGAAATCAGAGGCAGACACTGAAGGCTAAGTTATGCACATGTGCCAAATTTTTACAAATAGACTCATCAATACTTTTAACAACGTCAAAATAAATTAGGAATAGAATGCTCAGTGAAGCTGAATGTTTTGCAACCCCCACTCCCAAGCTCCTCTACAATTAGGTCTCATTCCTCTTTTAGCCCACAGACCCCTAAACCATATTGGGTGTCATACAGAGTTTCTGATTTCAGTTCATAAACACAGCTGGAAGAGTTGCAGATATAGAGACTGTTCAGGGGAAGTATCTCATAATTTGAAGGTGGACTATCCTGACAGCATTGCTTGTAGTTAGTAATACTTACAGATATATCATCACTGAAGTCAATTTCATCCAAATCAAGGTATTCAGGGGCTTCCATTATTCTTCTTTGTACATTTTGAGTAAGAGCAAATACTTATAATTTCCTGAATAAGATAGAAGCAGAAAAGAAGGGCAAAAGGGTTAGCTGTTTATAACTAGAAACATTATCGCTAATTAAACAAACAAAACAGGAAAAGGTAATTTGGTAATAGTGTTGCCTTGGAGCGCATTTCCTCCCTCCAGACAGGTTCCAAAAGCCTTGAGCACAGCTCCTCAGGGGTCCCAGCATAGCTCCCCAGTGAGCACCCATAGTCCTTTGCCTTACTTGATTTGCACTTATCTGTGCTAGGGTAGTAACTGGGGTCAGAATTTTCCCCTATGATAAGTATCAGCATTCAGTGAGACAAACACCCTGCTCTCACCAAACCCTGGATGAAAGCGTGAGCTTAATGGAGACAGCCACCTGGACATCTTAGGAAAACCTTATTCAAGTATTTTCTGTGGAAATACCCTTGGTGCTGTGCGTGGAGTAATGAAACTAGATATCCATAGTGATCACCCAGGGGTAAGATGATTTCAACTGATCAAGAATAACGGCCATTTCAGAACTTGTAGTGTGATCTCCAATTCAAGGACACACACAGAGGAAGAGAAGGAGAGAAGGGGAGAGAGGAGAGAGAGAGAGAGAGAGAGAGAGAGAGAGAGAGAACACTTTAAGTGTGGCTTTGACTTGGAGTTATTGCATTGCTCTCTGTCTTAAGTAGCTCTGTCTGACTGTGCCAGAGTGACCTGATGTAGGTGCCAGAACATCCTCAGTCAGCACTTGCTTCTGGGCTGCCCGTGGCAGTCCTTTATAGCTGTCAAGGTAAGATACATCACCTACTCCTTCACTTTCCCATCATTTGTCATCATCACCATTGGCCGTGGCAGTGGCACTTATACATGCCAAGAACAGAAATAGATCTCTCCTGGTGGTGCCTTGGTGTACAATTATCTTCTGCCAGCTCTCAGATATGAAAAGAGGATTCCATTCCTGCAATGTGTCTTTCTTATTACAGAAATTGTGTTATGTATTCAGACTTGAGTATCCGAAAGGATTCTTTTTGCTTTGTTGAACAGTAGAGACATTACTGGACAGGGATATGGATCTAGATTGATGAAAATAAATTTCTCAATACAAGACCAAGGGTCTAAACAGGTCTTTAAATGTTATTTTATTTAGACAGGGTCTTACAGTATAGCCCTGGCTAGCCTGGAACTTACTATTTAGACCAAGCTGGCCTCAAACTTAAGAGCGATTCTCTTGCCTCTGCCACAGGCATGTGTTAACACACTGGCTAGCGGGTTTATTTTCTTAAAAGGAAACCCTTATTCTAAGTGCAACCTTTTTTTTTTTTGTTTGCTTTGAACTGTTCCTCCTTTTAAGTCACAAAAATGGTATAGCTATAATAAACAGAGAAAAAAATCCTGCCTGAAGCCTATCACCCAATTTAATTTTCCATATTCCCTGTCCTTCCCTTAATAATTAATTGCTAAACCCAGTTTTGTTATTCTGACAGTAGAGAGGGCAATGTCCACATGAGTGTAGTCGTTCTAGTAGAATGGAACCAGTGGATTATGTGAGTCATGACTTCAAAGCAGAAGAAAACCTTTGTTTTGTGTTTGTCTTTGGATGATGGAAATGAGATTTTTTTTTTTTTTTTACAACATGAGCCAGAAGACAAGACGGCTGGGCAGCCGGAGAGTCCTTCGTGTCCTAGAGGACTCCGCACACAGTTTATTTCATTTACCATACAGTTCCTTCTGTGTGGTTTCACTGCTTTTCTCTTTCAAGGTGTCACTTTGGGTGTATTTATGTTGTCACTTGTAATATGTGGAAAACCCCACAGTTTATCGTCCTGGTCACATTTCTAGCTGTTTCTTTTCAGTTGTCCCAGTGGTCATTACCAAGTCTCCCCCTTTCTCATCTGCCCATCTGCTGAGCTTCAGCACCCCCTTCAGAGGCATGGGGAGGATGGGGTGGAGTGAGGTCTGTCTAGGCAGCTGTGGCAGATGATGGCACAAGATAAGGAGACTGAGCCCGACTCTGGTCGATTTTTCTGTCCTTCTCTTGTGCCACCTCCTATCTGCCTGCCATGGAAACCCAGAGCCCCCTTTCCCAACTGATGATACACGTCCTCTTACAGAAAGCCTAGCAACTCAGGGCACACATCAGCATACCCAGTGCACATTAGAGACTCATGAGCCAAGTCTGGCCCACAGAGAGGTTTTATTTGGCCCTAGTGGTGCTTTAAAAAAAAGTAAAGCAAATGAGTTGCCAGCTTGTAAACCTTGGGTGATTTCACATGAAATTCTTGATTTTTGGCTTTGCTTTAATAATACATAAAGCTCTGGCAACACAGGTCCATATTACCCATAACAATGCTTGGCTGGAGCTGAGTGGCAGCTGCTCCTACCTGCCTTCCAGGGGTGTGAACCCCAGCTCAGCAGTGGGTACACCCTCCTGGGCTACTCTGCACAGCTCTATGTACTGCCTGCTCTAGGGTAAGTTTGACTTCAGACTTTGAAGGAATTTGCTATTAATAACATCACCACTACCTTCCCACACTTTTGAATTCATGTCCCTGCCAAGACTGTTGACTTCATTTATATTTTAATATTAAATTCATATTGATCTCATTTAAAATTCTCATGCCAGATCAGCACAATTTTTTTTTAGATTATAAAGGCAGCCAGGAAACTTTATTCAAAAGGAACCATAGCACAGATTAGAAAGGAATACACTGTCAAGATTGACAGCAGGCCACATGAGTGAGGGAACTCAAGTAAAGGGCTGGAGAGATGGCTCTAAGGTTAAGAGCACTGGCTGCTCTGAAGAGGATCTGGGTTCGGTTTTCAGCACCCACATGGCCGCTAACCAGCAATTCACCACTCCATTTCCAAGTGATCTGATGCTCTCTTCTGGCTTCCACAGGCATTGCAAGACATGGGTGTGCTTACATACATGAAGGCAATACATTCATACATACAATAAAAATAAATAAATCAAAAAATTTAAGAGATTGCTAGGCACGATGGTGTACGCCTTTAATCCCAGCACTCAGGAGGCAGAGGCAGGTGGATCTCTGTGAGACTGAAGCAAGCCTGGTCTGAGGGTCTCTCCCTCTCCTCGAGGGCTGTTGGCCACCGGTCCATGAGGACAAAGGGAGCAGAAGCGACGAACGGGTTCAGGACATGAGCATGATGGAAAAAGACTTTCCAGGGAGGCAGATTCAATGATACAGCTCCAGATTCAGTGATACAGCTCCGTTTATTCAGTGGGGGTCAAGGAAAATATAGTGTGGAGGCAGCAGCCAAAGCTTCAGCTGATAGGTGCTCATAGTAT